TCTCTCTTTCTCTTTCTTTTCCTTTTTCTTAAAAAAAAATTTTCAGGCCTATATTTTCTCTCTTCTTTTTCCACCCCGCCCCCCAGTTCACCTTTCTTTCATATTCTTCCACTTGAGAAGAGGAATGAGAAAGTATTTGGAAAAGGGGAGTGTTTCTAATGAAATCTAGAAAAGACTTTATCCTCCCCCCTCCCAATAAGAAAAGATTATCTTCTCCTGAAGGCTGCAAGAAGAGTGTTTTTTTTTTTAACAGGCTCTCATTAGCATTGAGATCTGGACCTTTCTCTCTAGCACTTTGTGCTCTGGCTCGTGCAATGAGGTTGCCCTGTGTGACAGAAAAGAATCTTTCCCGGGCATACAATGTACTTTCTTCCCTTCCCCACAGTCACGTAACAAGAGGGTTTGGTCAGCCAGTGGCAGCCCTGCGACAGCACCAGGTGCTACCGCGTCCCACGTGCGTGACCACTTAGCTGCCACCTGCAGTAGCTTTGAAGCTGCTGTGAAGTGTGAGAGAGGGCGAGTCACTCCCTCCGCAGCTCCTGCACCCAGGGGATGGAGCAGGACGCAGCCACCTCTCTCCCCGCCTGTTTCGGGATTCTTCCTACCCATGTGTGCGGCTGGGGGTTTCCAGAAGCCTGCGCAAGGTGATCACAAGGTGTCACAAGGCGCTTTTAGTCCTTGTCGTCTGTATGCTGTGTTTAGCTCCCATTAATCGTTCCATTCTTGCCAAAAAATCTGGCACATATTTGTCTTTATAGATAATATATATATTATCTATAGGTTTTAGGGAAATAAAAAAACTAATTTAAAAAAAAAGGCCCGCATGTATCATCAGGACCATTGTATTAAGACAATATGAGAGAAAAGTGCTTGTAGTGAACTTTGGAATCCTAAGAACTCTCAGAAAATTCTGTGGATATCTAATAAATTCCTTCAAATACACGGGTCCTACTAACAGAGCTCTGTTAACTAAATTTAAATGTGCTGTAATATAACAGTGAATGTTAAAATCAGAAGACAGGTCTACACCGAGCCCTCACAGTAGTATAATAATTAATTTTTATTTGTTGTACAGTGGTAATTTCCATCTCATGCTTCCATAATATACAATATGACATAATGGTGTTTTTAAAATTAATATTTAATTATGAAAGGAAATAAAGACTGCTAAAAAAGTTATTACAATAGTAATAGCTTCTTTTCAGTAGTAATAACTGGTCTTTTCAGCCATGCAGGAGTGAATTTTAAAAAGGTTTTAAAGGTCTTCATGAACTTACAGTGGTGGTAGAGATTACAAAGCAGATTCTGTAACAGATCTTATATTACAGTTTCCAGTTAAAGAACTGTAGGTTATAAATGTAGGTATTTCACTTAATATTAGTGTAGCACTATTTTATTATAATTTCAAATGCTCTTATTTGGCACATACGTGTAACTTTGGCTTGAGTGCGGGTTGCTTGGTAGCAGAAGATGACACCTAGGGACTCCACCAGTTCAGCTGAGCATATAAGAGGGGCTGAAAATACTGATTTTTAACTGTGAAGTGTTCACTGAATGAGCAGTTGAATTAACAGTAGAAGAGAAGCGGATTTCTTTTAAGAAGTTGTGAGACAGGGATCCAACAAACTTACTAAAATTAACACTACATCTCCCTCTATTGGATATAAAATGAAATGAAACAAAAAATAATCAGCCTGCCTTGCTTTCCAGCAGCACACAAATTTCATACAACCATTTATATAGGAACAGTGACTGATTTTTATAGTAATTTTTGGAGCAAAAATTAATTTGGTTATAAAAGACAGTTCATATAAATTTAAAATTATTGCTTTCTTAGGTGTCAGATGCAAGTGGATCCATGAAGGTGTCCGTGGTAGCAGAGGAAAACCCCTTCTCCATGGCAATGCTTTTGTCTGAGGAGTGCTTCATTTTGGACAATGGTGCTGCAAGGAAGATCTTTGTGTGGAAAGGTAAGAGATCACTTCTGTTGCAAAGGCAGAAGCGATACAGACATATCTAAGGAGTCGACGCAACACTCCCGGGACACTAGCAAGAATTTAATACTGGCTGGACACAGTACCCTGCACATGGTTCTTCCTTGGTGCGTTCTGTGGACAAGGATTGCTCACATGGGCAAGGGCCTCCAGACCGACTCTTGACTAAGGTTCCTGGCTACTTTTGAGGTATCTGTAAGTTTGGATGCTTAAATGCTTATCTAAGTGGCAATTACAAAGCAGACATAAAGAATTGTACAAGTTCTGTATATTGTCATCAAATCCCTATCTTCTGGGACAAAATCCAGATACTGAAGGTTTGATAATGGGTAGATATTATATTTCCATACATTGCTCCAGAGAGGTGTGAAATTGAAAGGTAAGTGTCCCAGGCATCAACTAAAAGCATAAGCTTGCAAATACTTTGATGCTTTTTTTTTTCTGGCAAATATTTCTCTGTGGTATTATCAATGCTTGTAGAAGTGTCTGCAATTGCTTTGACCGAACATTTCCCAGGAGAAGAATACTACTGGGGAATTAGGTCTGGACACCTTGTAGCTGGATTGTTGTGGTCCTGCCATTGCATCCAGCGCTGAGTATCTCCCCTTTTTTGTCTAAGGCAGTGTATTAATTATTCCATGGCATTGCATTTCTTTTTACCATATGCAATAGCAAATAATTAATTGATGCAGTTGTCAAACTGCTGAAATTAGTCCAGAAAGCATTGTAAGCGTTTTGCTTGAAAACTTAATTTGCAGTTAGGGAAACATCCTTTAAAAGAGCATTTTGAGAGCATTGTGCTCAGATAGCCTAAGGTCTACCTGACCACCCCAGTTCCTCGTTTTCACTCTCTGCCTGATAGCTTCTAGAAGAACCAAGCCAATAGGATCAGGCATAAAATAAATAAAATACAATTTAGGCCCTTTGAATGTGACCCTGTGTGCTCCTCTGTGCATCCTCACTTTGCTACTGTTGGTAACAATAATGTGTGGAAAAATCCCATTAGTCTGTGAGTCTCACCCTTGCGCTGAGAGGCTGCCGTTATCATCACTGCTGGAAATCTTCAGACCACTAAGCTGAGGAGTGTGAATTACTTCTCCAACAGTCTCATTCGAAGTGGAATACAATGAACGGCTTATCAGAGCATCTTATTAGACTAAGAGGTCTTTGGAGTATAGTCATTGACAGCTGGCTGAGACACAGACCTGATACACAATACCATCCCACAGAGACGTTCAGAGCTGTCTACCACTGAGCAAGGCTGAACATGGAGCAACGGATGGGGAAGGGTGGTAGTAAATTGCACAACCCGGCCGGATGAAATGGGTGTTTCTTTTACTCGGACTGTGGCACTGCCTGAAGAAGTGGAGGCAGTTCTGGACAGCAGGTTTATTTACCATGTTGCAGCCCAGCAAGGGAAGATTCAGAGCAAAGAGCCAGGGTGTTCTTGTACCTTGAACCAAGCAGATACTATGAACAGCATTTTTTGATAGAAACACACACACACCAAGCAAAAAACGATGCCCCCTTTTTATTTTTATTTTATTTTATTTTAATTTATTTCAAAGCCATTGAGGTACTATTTTGGCCATTCAACTTTGTGTGCATCTTATTGCTCATGCTATGTCCAGCATTTGTTTCTTCAAGACTGAGGCAAGAACAATGTCAAAGAGAACCTGGCTCAAGGACATCTTGTTTCTGAAGGATCTGTGAGCTCATTGCCCTTTCCCATGTATTGTTATCTTTCTGTTTTAACCAGGCAAAGATGCTAACCCACAAGAGAGAAAAGCTGCCATGAAGAATGCTGAACAATTCATACAACAGATGAATTATCCTGCCAACACACAGGTGCAATCTATTTCTGAGATGATACCAGGAGAGCATGAGCTCTGTTAAAGACTTTGTTTTTAAATCAGCAAAAAAATATTTTAAGGGTTTATAAGACATAAGGGCAATGTTTCACTGACAGATAATTCAGAAAAGTTTATGTTTGAGTAACCGTGTTGATTTTGTTTTCCTTCCATTTCATGTGTCTTGCTTCACTTCAGATTCAAGTCCTTCCTGAAGGAGGTGAAACGCCAATTTTCAAACAATTTTTCAACGACTGGAAGGATAAAGATCAAAGTGATGGCTTTGGCAAAGTGTATGTCACAGAGAGGGTGGCTAAAATTGAGCAGATTGAATTTGATGCTACCAAGTTACATGAGTCTCCACAAATGGCTGCCCAGCATAACATGGTAGATGATGGCTCAGGGAAAGTAGAGGTAATTTTTGAGTTGTATTAAACTGGCTTCTACCTACCTCGTTTATTCTGCTACAGGATAAGCTGCTACTCTGTGTTTTGCCATTTACACTGTTGTGTAGAGTAACACTATGTTACAGGCAGTGTTACTTTTACCATCAGAAAAAGCACTTTGAAGTAGAAAGTGAGTCTCTTTGTCAGCTCTATGTTTTTTTGGTGCTTATGAAAGATGTTGTACCAGTCATCAAAGAAATCAAACAGCAGAAACATTTCCCCTTCTACACAGTATTTCTTAAAGATATACTTTAAATATGATCCTTAGCCTAAAGAAAAACTTCTAGCTCACATCAGCTTGAAGTCTGGAATGGGAAAACTTGCCCTTGGAGGCAGAAATTTGTTCTGCGTCTTTATGTATGTATCCAGTCTGCTTTCTAGAGGAACCTTCTTTGTCCCTAGTGTGTCTCTCAGGTAGCCTAGATTTAGAGAGAAAAAGATGACTGACTGTACAGTCTTTCTAGATCTATCCATATCCCACTGCAGGAATATCTTTGGGCTACACAGGTCTGGTTTGGCACTGTACCAACACAGCCTGTTGAATACAGGTCTGCATGTTGGGATTCTGGAAGAAAAAGATAAATACCTACAGTCTCATTGGTATATTTTCTAGGTTTGTAACCTCATACTTGGGATGGTCCGTAGGCTTGACCCAAAGCAGCTTACATCTGAGACATTTTTGCTTTATAATTTTAACAGTATGTTTTTGGAGAGCAGTTGTTAACTGAACTGGGCTGTAGTGAATCAAATAGGAAGAAATCTGCCTATCAGTGTGCTATCTGACTACAGTGTACCTCGCCCAAATGATATGATAGTGCTATGATGAATCATAATGTTGTGCCATTCATATCATACTGTCATCTTAAGATGTTAAGAAACTAAGTTCAACATAGCATTATGAGGTGATCATATGGCATTAAAGCATAAAGCATTAAAGACAAAGAAAAGGGTACTGCAAGGGCTTGATGGTCATTATTCATTCATTTGCTGGGCGCAGGGTGTATCTATCTCCTCCATGAAGAATCCTTCCTGATTTTATCACATAACACTTGGGAACAGAAACAAAGGTCACTCAAGGGATGACACAATGAATTGCTTCTTGAAGGGTCTCAGGATGAAGTTCAGCATTCTTCAGTGATTTCTCTGTTTCCCCAGATCTGGCATGTGGAAAGCAGCGGCAGAGTTCCTGTGGGACCTGAGATGCATGGACAATTCTACGGTGGTGACTGCTACATTATCCTCTACACTTACCCTAAAGGGCAGATCATCTACACATGGTATGTTTCGTCAGCTTTGCATAGACCACCAGCATGGGGACATTATTTTATGCTGACTTTACATCTTTTTGAGTAAAACCATATGTAAATGCAAAGTTGTTTGCTGTGCATTTGTTGCACAGTATAAACTCTGGATTATTTTGAAACTGGACTTAACCATTGTCTTCCTCCTTGTCTTCCTCAGGCAAGGAGCCCATACTACAAAAGATGAACTGACTGCATCTGCATTTCTGACTGTTCAGTTGGATCGGTTATTGAATGGTCAGGCTGTGCAGGTTAGTGTCTTTTGGATAAAATTCAACAGAGCATGTAATATATGCAAATGTCAATGAGAACTAAAAGGAGGAGGTAGCATTTGAAGACTGGGAATATCAGCTGCTCATGGTCTGTATTGAGCCAAGCACCATGGGCTCCTTTTAAAGTCACTGGAGATTTCCCATTTGAATCATTCTTTCTTAATGTAAATGTCCAATCGAACACAGATATAACACAACCTAAAACTGCCTTTTTTTTCCTTCGACTTCCACTGTCCAAAAAAGATCGGGTTTTAGTCCTGTCTAGCCTTACAAACTCTGTACATGGTCAGTGGAGACCGAAGGATAAGATCCTCCCAGGGCATCTCACTCTGAAGCAGGTGTCTGACAGGGCGATAGCCCTGTGTGAGCTCCCCTGTCTCCTTTTGATTATGTAAGAAGCTGTGATGTTTAGCCCAGACAAGATGCCTGGCTTTTAGAGGGCCAAAACTGGGAGATGTGAAAGCCACACGACAGCCAGAAGGGGAGAGCCTACAGGAGCTCTGCTGCAGGGTCTGGCTTGTCCCTGCCGTAGCGAGGAAGGTAACCTGGGTTTTCCCATGCCATAGTGCTTGCAGCTCTGTGAAAGCAGGATACACGTCCTCAGTTGCAGAAATGGGATGTGCAAGGCAAGGTGCGGGACATTGGCAGCTAAAAAGCGTGATGAGGTGATCTAGTCCTAGCATGACTGAATGTGTGCTCTCCTTTCATCACTAGTGAGGAGTAGCAGGTAAGTGGAGAGGTGAGAGATCTCCTCTTTTCACAGAAGGCTAGAGCTGGAAGATGACCAGGGATGGGCAAAGATTTTCTAGGCAGTAGGAGATAATTCTGTGCTTCCCATTTCTTAATTACCAAAGTAAAGGTCTTCCCCCACCCACCAAATTACAGTTAATTTAGATGGCAGACCATACTTTTAGCAATTAATCAGTTATGATTTATGATTGAAATTATATTAAGGAAGGATTAGAACACTTCTAGGTAATTACTCCTTGAAATATTCCTAACATGTTCTATATTTGGACAGAGCTCAGCACAATATGGTCCTGCCTCATAACTAAGGCCAATACTAATACTACAGTAATAATATTATTACTACTACACAATAATAATGTGCTTAAAAGTCCTTTTTATTAAAGGTGAAGGAGATCCATCTCACCGCAATGGACATGATACTTAAAAGTACTTTTAGCCTGCAATGAGTTTAGGAATATAGATATGTGTGTATATATGTATGTGTATATACACACACACATATGAATATACGCGTGTGTGTACTTGTATGCATGTACATGGCTACCTAGAATATATTACCTGTGCTTAACGTCCGTATTAGCATTATTTGAAAGGTTTAAATGTACTATTTTGTGGTCACTAGATGGCACTACAGTACACATGACTATTAAAAAGTCGTTCCACTACCTGTTTTTTGCAGGAATATGTTTCCCTCAGCAGTTTTTTTTTTTTTCTCTTCGTGTTTTTTGGTGGGATTTTTGGGGGTTTGTGGGTTTTTTGGGTATTTGTAAAATCCTGCCGCAGTTTGGCACCTAGAAGTATATGTGTCCTAGTATCTCCTTATCAGGCAAGTGTACCAGCCTGTCCAGCTGTGGGATACGTAAAAACACCTGCTCCCGCTGCCCAGGACGGCCGCCGCCGCCCCAGCCGCCGGGCTGCCCCACACCCCGGGCAGGGCTGAAGGGCTGGGGCCCTCCACTTCCCCCCCTCTGCTGGCTGCGCAGCATGCCTCGTTCCCTTTTTCCCCCTCTTTCTTTCCAGGAGTGAAAGTCACAGCCCTCCACCTTGGCGGGTGGTGCTGTTATAAAGGAAGAACAAACGGTGATATAGAAATAACTTCTCTTGTACATTAACCTACAAATAGTCGTTCTTCATAGCTCAGTGTTTTTCAGAGATTGCAATAACAGTCTTTGCATCTGTAATGGAAGTTCCATTTTTGTCATCCATGTTATCCTCTGCAAGACAGATTTATGCTCATCTTTTTCATCCTCTTCTACGTAAAATACACATAGAAATAATGAACAGGATAAATAACCATTCTTTTCTGCTTAAATACAGGGTGCCTAGACTTCCAAGATAGTTTTTCAGGGGAATTAAGACACTCTGTAAAACTTCATGAAATGACAGTTCTTTTGAAAAAGAGTAATTTTCTTATTATTTCTTACAGTAGATAGCAGCCATTTTAATCAGCTAAACATTATGCTAGAAGTTTGAATATTGTCTTTGTGTCTGCATGATTGACAAAAAATCTCACAAATGTTCTAACTTTAATGTGTCTGGAACTATATTTTTAGATCTTCTCAGCTTGCCACTTCTCATTCTTGCTAACATACTTAGCATTATTGGCTAACATCCCCTAAGCTATTCAACAAAGACCAAAAATAACTACTTGTGTCCTTTTGTTTCTTTTATTGCATTCCTTTACATATGTTCAGATCCGAGTCAGCCAAGGCAAAGAGCCTGCACATTTGCTGAGCTTGTTCAAAAACAAACCGCTTATTGTCTACAAGGATGGGACATCCAAGAAGGAAGGTCAGAAACCTGCTCCTCCCACACAACTCTTCCAAATCCGCAGGAACCTCGCAGCCATTACCAGGATTGCGGAGGTAAAGTCATCTGCTAAGTAAACCAGCTATTCCCCACGGGAAAAGGTATAGCTGCCACGAGCTTCTCCGACTGATCTTGTTGGGTAGTCACGTCTGGTAGGAACGCAGAACTCCAAATCAAATCCGCTGCTCTATGTAACCAACCCATGTAATAAATCACAGAGAATATGCCGTAACTGGCTGCAACCAATCTACATCTTTCAGAGGATGCTGTAAGAAAACATGTAGTGGATGGTCAGCTGACAAAGAATAGACAAGAAATCAGCAATCCTTATGAGACAGTCTTTCCTACTGCCAAGTAGTCCTAACTTTTGCCATTCACATCAGTTCCTTGTCTCAAGTTAAGTTCTTCTCTAATTTGTATCAGTATAAATCCAGAGAAAAATTGAAGAAAAAAAGCACAGCTAATTAACATATATCTACAGGTTTTAGATAAGCATGCAACATAGTGGTCACATTATTTGAAAATATGAAGAATAAAACAATTTCTTTCTTGCTATAGGTTGATGTTGACGCAATGTCACTAAACTCTAATGATGTCTTTGTTCTGAAACTGCCAAACAACTCTGGCTACACCTGGGTAGGAAAAGGAGCAAACAAAGAAGAGGAACAAGGAGCTCAATACATTGCCAGTGTTCTTAAATGCCAGACTGCTAAGATTAATGAAGGCCAGGAACCAGGTTAGTACAAGGCCACGTGGTTGCTAATAGGCAGTTGAGAATATACAGCACGTCATGGAAATACAGACCAAATGGTTTTTGCAATCGTATATTTTGTAGGCAGAAGCATATGCTCACTCTCTGCCTTTGAAAATCCAGCCTGACATTTACCATGGAGATCTATCCAGAACTGGCTGATGCACAGTGTGTATGTGCGCTGGAAGTCTGTAGGACAATAGCGGGAGCTGCAGAGGAGTGTAGTCCTTTCTTCACCCTGAGTGCCTAGGAGGGGAGAAGGACATAGCACATTGCTCCTTCTAGGTCTGCAAGTGATACCTTTATTGCTATTTTGACAAACTGCAGGAAGAACTGTAAGAAAATGCACACATCTCTGAGGCAGCAAAGAAGATACTGTCTGGGGATTCTAACAAGCTAAAACATCAAATGTTAAATCCATTGCTGAATAAATTACATATTGTGTATTTCAGAGGAATTCTGGAAAGCACTTGGAGGTAAAAAAAAATATCAGACTTCATCACAACTCTTGACAAAGGCTGAAGATCATCCCCCTCGCCTGTATGGTTGTTCTAATAAGACTGGCAGATTTATTGTGAGTATAGGAGGGATACTTTCCTTTCTGTTTTATTACATATTTTCTGGTATATTTTGCCTTGGGAATCAGCAGACATTAAATGAATTTGGGGATCTAGCTTAGTTAGCCATGCTTGGCAAGAACTAGACAGCTGAGGTTCGGTGCTTGAAATCCATCTAAATGCAAGAGATGGACAGAAGAAGTAATACTGCAGACGTTTGCACGCAGAGCCTGCTCCAGCCTGGGACTAGAGGCTTGCAGGTTCAAAAAGATAAGGTATTTGCCCAATCAAAGGCAATTGGGTCCTTGCAGAGCATTGCCAGACTGATATTTTGCTGAGAAAGTCCAGGTCAGTGTCTTGCCACTTACATGTTTGATAGTGGTGGTGAGGAAAAGAAATGTCCCTTGCCAAAAATCCCTAGCAGTCTGGAGTTTTCCATAGAGCTTTAAGACATGTAATTATGCCTCTAAGATATTGGCCTGTGCTCAAGGAGTTAAGGAAGACCTATTTCCTTAGCAGAAATACCCAGAGCTGTGTGCTGGGTATTAAACCTGTGATTCAGGCTTAATTATTTACTGTATTCTGGGAGGGCAACGCTGTGTCACTGTTTGGCAAGGATGCACTAATTTTTAGGTAGGGAACGCAGTTGGCTACCATCTCTGCACTCTCCTTAAGGCACAGCCCATTCATTTGGAGCGGGATAAAACAAACAGGATCCTTTAATACGGACTTTGAAATTTTATGGGAGTAGTGAAGTGTATTCTTCTAAAAAGCTTCTAAAACACTCCTGTGAAATACAGCAATAGGAACCAACCTCTCTATAACAGTCTGCTGGGAGCTATGCACTTGATTGGTTTTTGTTTTAAATTCCCTCCAGATTCTGTGAAATTCCCTGTTTCCTGTAGCATTTCTCTAGTAACAGAATCAGCCCTGTTAGAGCTCACCAGAAGAGGTAGGTCAGATCACTCTGACCTTCTGGCCACCATAACAAAGGGTGGGGAAAAGGAATGTCCTTTGCACCATCTGCTTACTGTCCCTTTAGCACTCCTACATGACCAAGCATAGCCAAACCCTTGACAGTCCATTAAAAGTAGAGGGCTGACCACTAGCTACATTATTATCTCTCCTTCTCGTACAGAATAACATTAAAACTGCTTTCCTACCTGCCTGCACAGCCTTGGACGAAGCAAGCAGTCTGTCTTTCCTTTGGGGACTAAATCTTTGATGGCTTAGTCAACTGTAATGTCCTGCTGTCAGGTGACTGGAAAGCTTGCTTGGGTGTATATTTCATCACCGAGCTGACCCACTTGCAAACCAAAGCAGTTTCTTTTCCGTATTAATGAATATAAGCTGCATGAATATATCAGCTGATACCTGCTGATTGATTTAGTTTGCTTGGTACAAGGTGCTCTGTGGAAACTTCCCTGTCCCCTTCTTCTGGCGGGGGTTCCAACTGAACAATAGTCACAATTACCAAGTAAACCTCTGCCTCTCCTGAGGATATCCTATCAGTTCTGTTATAGGACATGCAATATGTGATTTGTTTCCTTTCAGTGAAACATCCTTGACACATTCATCAAATCGGTTTAGAGCTTGACCCTTTAGGAGCAAAAAGAATTGCACACCAGCTTCTGGATTTTCCTTTAAAAAGTGTCTTTGATCTGTGCAAAATCAGAATATCTTGATAAATTATTAAAAAGCAAAAAGCTCAAAACATAATATCGTTTTTAGATTGAGGAGGTCCCAGGAGAATTCACTCAGGATGATTTGGCTGAAGATGATGTCATGCTGCTGGATGCTTGGGAGCAGGTAAGCTGTGTACTTGACCACTGCTTTTTGTGGTAAGAAGGATAATTTATTCTTAACCACTTTAGATCATAAGATGGGAGGAAAAATCATCTCCGTGAGAATGGAAGAGGTTTTGTTTTCTTTAAATTATACCAGAGGGAGCTACATTGTTTGAGCTATATGATGTGCTAGTGTGAATATACACGACTGAATTTCCGAGCATAATGTGCGACCATGGCAGGCACTTCCCATTAAAGCCAATGGAGGCTGCAAGAATATAAGCCCCAGCAGCGTTCTGAAAGGCTCTCAATAATGGTCTCGATTTTATCACTAAGATTTATTAATTTTTAAAAGCTGGTTTTTGCATTAAAGGTATTCAGAAGCCACAAAATCCCTCAAAAAGTCTTTCTAGGGAAGGGGACAAACACTAGACCCTTACACAGATTTTGTCAGAAGAACTGGGTGAAGGGTGACAGAAATAATCTTCACCATTGTCCCAGGTTCACTGAAAACTGAAAATGTTGAGAGCTTTTTGGATGACAGGCAAATTTAACTGCGGGTATGGAGAGCACATCTGTTCCCACAGTATATTCTCTCTACCCTTCCTCTCCCCTCAGAGGGAAAGGGGGAGGAGGCCACAGATCCCACACTTTATTTGTCTTCTTCAGCCTAACCCTTAAGTAAAAAAAGGGTGAGGCTTTTGGAAATGAGAAGGAACATCCAAGGTCCATGTGGGAAGGAGTGATGGGGGAAGGTGGGTGGAAGAGCTGGATGGAAAGTAGTTGGGACATACTGATTCAGGTAAGAAGGAAAGAAGTCCGGGACATGTAGCTGGTTTCCAAAAGGATCCTTGTCAGAAAAGAGATAAATGTGGGGATTGCAGATCAAGGCTCAGTGGGTTATCTAGCAATTACCCTGAGTAGCATTGATCACAGGGCACAAGCACTGATGCACGTGCAGAGCTCAAACTAGAGACAGCTCCTGTTCAGTATTTTCACCTGCACTTAAAGAGCAATTTCCTTGCCAAATTGTAAAAAGATGTCCGTGGAAAAGGTAGAGTTCCTTCCATCACAGTGCGTAAAAGGTCCGGCCTTTCAGCATCAAGAGAGCAGACAGATTTCAGAAGTCTCTCGCAAGGGAAAAAAAATACCATCAACTGTGGTTTGTGAGAGCTGTGTATCTCTGCAGTCTTTTCATAGTGTGTGTTCTTTCTCTTAGTGGAGTCAACTATTTGGTCTTTTACCTGCTGTACACAACATCCTTATAACAACATGGGAGCTAAATCTTTCTCTCCTCTGTCTGCAGGTTTTTGTCTGGATTGGGAAGGATGCTAATGAAACTGAGCGACAGGAATCTGTTAGATCTGGTAAATCAAATCAATCTGGCAGAATTCTGAGTGAAGTAGCATCAAGAAGTAAAAAAGACGATGTAGAAGAAATCTAGTTATGTTTACAGTGTCTAAAAGGGTTATTGAGCTTATTAGATTTAATCCTGGTGATTATTTTCTCCTTTAAAAGTGATTTAAAGCCATTGTATCTTTCTTATCTGTATGTTTGGGAAGAGTAATATTAATCAACTAGGTTGCAGAGCTTTTTTAAGAGTACACAGGCGAGCTCCATGAAAAGAAACTGCACTGAAAAGAGAAAGAGTTTAAAAGGAGATACCTACTGAGCTGCACCCTACACTAATGTATATATTCAAAGGAATGCCAACAAATCCTCAAGTCCTTACACTGCCACCCTTCACTGTTTTAAATTTGGAGGAGGGAATTCCAATTGCAGAACAAGACAACTTACATGGAATGCCCATCCTTGAAAAATCACGTGTCACCTCTGGAGTGATTTCACATAGCTGAGCCGTTCTGACAAAGGTCTGGCTAAAAACGCTTGCAGATATTTCCCTAGAGCAGCTAGGGTTGCCTCGCTGCGTTTCCAGTAGGTACTGATGTCCCGTTGTGATGTCAAGGGAAACTATACTGGCTTTTACATGGGGAAAAATGGGAATGAAGCTTGTGCATCTGCACAGCACCAGCAAACACCTTCTCCTGTTCAGGAGCCAAAACCCAGCTGCATGGCAATGAACTGTTCAGAGCCACAATCTGAAGTTTTAATCAGAGGTTTTAACCTCATCGAAAATTCCTTCACTGGCAGCTGGGGGAAATCAGCAATTACCTGATCATTTCCTTGCCTTAGAAATAATTTAATTGAATACTGTATTATAATAGCCCTGGGTTCTTTCACTAGGGCTTTTAATGTATTTTTTTTATACCAAAGGAATGAACTAACATATTACATGTTTTATTTCGCCTCTGTTTTTAGCCAAACGTTATATTGAAACAGATCCTTCTGGCAGAGATAAGGGGACCCCCATTGTAATCGTGAAGCAGGGCCACGAACCCCCAACATTCACAGGCTGGTTCCTGGCTTGGGACTCCAACAGGTGGAAGAGCTGATCTATCCAAGGAGGCTTCAGCTTCAAGCCAAAGAATGATCAGAGCCCAGCTACTTTCTAGCATTTTTTAAGCATAAGCTTATGCAACAATATGATGCATCTGTTGTTACACTTTCCCAGGCTTTGATATATTTCTGTGAATAACCTAGAAATTCTTAGCACTGGAAAGGATAAATGATAATTGTAAACTGCTCAAATGGGGTGAGTGGGGCTTTTTATGTAGTAAATAAGGAAAGTGCTACCAATACATTAATCTATTGATTTTTCGAACAGAAGCTATGGATCAGTTTACTTTAATGTGCTAAAACGGGCCAAATTCTGCCTTCACTTAAAAATCCAAACTATGCCAAAGAAATTCCTTTAGACTAAGGTCAACAGTATTGTGCAGAATTTGGCCTGATAAAGGACTAATTCTACATCTGTTGTGAGGGTAGGACTGGACATGATTTACTTACCAGACCAAACTATTGCCGTAGGCACTCACGTAAAATTTCAGATAATGCCTGATCCAGAGTGGGAGCTGTGTCTTGCAAGGGGGAAAGGGGAATGGGTATTTTGAGAAAGCTGTGCTTAATATGTTTGTTTGTCTTGTTAGCACAAATATTTGGAGCTTTGGACTGAATGGCTGTAAGACTGTGATGTTGACAAAGGTTTTTTTGAGGGATTGTCTAGCTCATTGTAATGAATTTCTTTAGATATATTTCTGTGAACCACCTCCAGCTCCAACAGGTCTTTTTAACCAAAGCTCTTAAACATATTCTAGTGCACTCATGCTTTTAAGTGGAAAAAGAAGTAACAGCTTCAGAAATACGTACTCTGCCTTAACCAGATTGCACTTAAGCCATACTTTGTCTCGGTTGCCTTACTCAGCAGTACTCAGTTCTTTTCCAGCATGCAGACTGCTCACCTTGTCAGGTGCAGGATGTGTTTCTACTCATTTTCTGTGCAGGTCTTAGGCAAATATCAAGTACATCAAGCACAAGGAAACCCCTTGTTTCAGTAGCATTCCACATCCTGGGAATTTGGAGTGTGAGTACGCACCCTAGAATGTGGCCTTCTTTTTTCTCTTGGACACAGTTATTTGGGCTTTTTTTATTCTGGTGAATTTAAGAGTACATTTTCAAAGTGTTTTTTATTTGCAATTTAGCCAGAAAAGTCTATGTAAGGGCAGTGGGAAAAATTCTACTTCAAATCTTTAGCACTGCTTTGATCATTTATCCTATAACACTTGTTTTAAGCAACAATTTGTACAGCTGTAAATCATGTCAATGTGGCTTTTTAATGAAGGCATTTCAATGGTTTTATTATTCTTGTAAGTTAGGTTGGAAAGTGAAACTTTAGACAGTTTTGTATTTTTTTAACATAATGTGATTTTGAATCTGAGTAATGCAAAAGAGTGAATTTAGTCTGAGCTTGTAATTGATATCAATGACAAAAGAATTGTGAAGCCAAGAGTAATTATAGGAGTTTGTTAGCTTTAAACATTTGTTTAAATCTCTGCTAATATAACTGGGCTGCATCTGAATGTAATTTCATTTAAAATAAAATTACAAAAAACAGTATTCTATATTCCAAGCTGATCTTCTTCTCTCTGACATACTGTTGGTCAGTGCTTCCACTGAGGTCTAGCAAAACTTCCTTAAAAACCCAGTAGGTACCTTCCTTTTTAGTTGGACAATGCAATGAGAAGTTACTTGTTTTTACTTTGGTGTCATTTTACCCAATGGAGCGTTAACTCTTCCCAACAACTTGAAAGTTACAAACCTAAGTGAAAATCAAAGAACAGGGTGCTTATTAGCTTGTGATTCCATCTTTAAGAAAAACTACCATTGCTGTTATCAAACTCTTTGGCTTTCTAACTTTCTGCTTGCAAAAATGATTGATTACAGAAATGACCATCTTATAAAATAGGAGGAAATAGGTGTATTTTTTTTTAAAGGATAGGTCTTGCTTTTTATTTGTGAGAGTAGATAAGGAGATGTTCTCCTGCTGGAAGGAGCACAAAGACCTTTTGGTTCCTTAGCTACTGCACTCCGTGCAGCCACTGAGCAGCCTGGAATTATCTGATGTCTATCTTCAACACACACATATGATTCTTCTCATTTTTTAAAATAACAGTTATAGTAGCTTCTTAACCAAGAATTAGACAAGATTTGCCTTCCTTGTACATAAAGATCTTCCAGAACACTGAGGGCTCTAAACTGGCACAATCTGACAGCATATTCTGCAGCACAGTGAAAACCTCTTTTCAGCTCCCTCACACAAGACAGAGGAGCTTTTGTGGTCTCCTGGCCTGGGCATTTGGGTTTACAATACATTGTCCTGGCACGTTGATTACTGATGTTGAGAAGAGCACCAAGAGCTCATAACGGAACAGTGTTCTGGTACAACAGCTGCTAGCAACGTTGTTCTTGGGTTTGCTTGCTAGTGAGGAAGTTTATTTTTTGTACATATATGTGCAGTACACACAAAGATGTGTTTGTTTCTCTCTGAAGAAGAGAGAGAGGGAGGGAGGGAGGGAGGACAGATAGGATGGACTATGAGTGCTTGGTAATATTAAAGATTAAGCTGTGTTCAAGAAAATATTTAAGCACGTAACTTTATGAATACACATAGCAAACCTATCTGCCTTGTTTTTGGAATAAATAGAACAAATTGTGCAGATGTATACACTACAGTCAAGTTCATTCAAGAATAAGCAGTATCTTGCATTATTATAACACAGTAATAGTACGTTCACTCTATTTGGAATGGCAAAATTAGACCCTGAGTTAGCAGTTTCATTGTGGTACCAAACAGCAAGCATTCGTATGTTCTGTTGGTTGTAAATACAGCATCATTTGTCACCTTTGCTTTATGGAATTACATTGCAACAGAACGATGTTAGGAATCCTCAGAGCCAACAGGACATTGTAATACCACATAGTATTGGTAGTTTACATAAAATAGCATAATCTTAGAATATAACTACACATTGTACACAGGAGAGGAGCCAGCCTCTGCAATTACTGCTCTAAATATCCATTTTGACCATAGCACATAGTGCTACATAATATCAGAACTGCTGTAAATGATTACGTTAAACGTAGCTAAATTGAAATGAACAGCTTGATCTCTTGCCAGTTCAGACTCGGGCAGGCTTCACCTGCACCAACAAGAAAACGACAAAGATGGTAGACGGTGAGATTGTGGTACTATCCCTCACAGGAGAACTAAGGAATCAAACAGAAAATATTTTGCTCACGGGACTATAGCAGGAGGTGCTCTCAGACATCTCTACAGGATACAGCAACACTTCTTGTTATAAATTTTGAGATCTTCTTGTGGTGTTCATTTTTACTGGATCTAAAAAGTCTTTAAAAAATTTAAAAATAAGCCAAAACAAACTTATTATTTTCCATGGACTGAAGTTGCTCTTCAGGGTCCACTTCTCTCCAGGAAATCCTAAAAAAACTTCAAATTTTGCTTCAGAATACAATTGCTTCCTCAGCATCCCACTGAAGTTGTGCCTTTATGGATTAATTGAGCCAAATGTAAGCATATAAGACAAAAAAATTATCATCTCATAAAACTAGATTTAGTTTATAATTTAATGTGCTGACTTTCCAAATCCTTGGGTTTTTTTCTTTTTTAAAGACAATAGTTTGTCTTTAGATAAAGAAATAGTACATTTTTCCCTTCTTATGGCTAGGACTTTTGCTGCTAAAATCAAAAGAACTTCTGATTTCATTGAAAACACAATCAGATCTATAATCAGATCCACTACACCTCCTTAATGTCTCATTACATGCTCTCTAGACAGGCCGAAAGTTACTTTGACCTCTCTGATTAGTAACACATTACCTCACGCTAAAAATCAATAAACTACCCTCACTTCAATTAAGGCTTCCAAGGTGCAAGAGCAAGAAGGGCAGGCCATTGGGAATTCGGAGGCCCACCATGCCATAAAATTAGGCAATGACTGTTCTGGCCCTTCTCCCCCGCATGCCATTTTCCTCTTGACATGCAAGCATACTTGCATTACAGAAAAAAAAAAATTATCTGTACCTACAGAAGAGAAGATGTAAACTGATTTTTATTTTATTTCTAAATAATAGTAAACTGAGTTATTCCAGGGGAGCAATTAGAAGGAGAATTGCCCTGTAACCAAACTTCTTCCTAAATACCTCCACCCTGCAAGAGCCCCCTCCTCAAAAGAGTGCTATGAGGATACTGAGATGGACAAGATTGAACCTCTTACCACCACATTTAATCAGCCAGCAGTGAAATGTGGGCCTCCACCCAAGCCCAAATGAAATGGAAGTGTTACTTTTTATTGTTTGGTAGAGTACAGATCATTTGCTCAGAAAATTACCTGGGTGGGGGCAGTAGGGCCAGTGAAGGTACGTACAACATTTCTTTGGGAACGTTATCAGGCAACCAAGCCGACAGGCTGGGGCAATCGGGACAGCATCCCACCGCACAGCCCGGAGACAGGCACGTCTGCTTTAGCAACAATAACGCTTTGATTATTCTAACAAAGCCTCTTGATTGGTGCTAGAAGAGCGCAGCTCTCCCTGTTGCCCTCTTAACAGATTTCACAGGGGTGACTCAGGGTGATTTCACAGCAGTTGGCAATATTAACATCAAGGCTGAATGCAATCAGGTAATTTTAGCATCATTTACCTGACAGTTGACTGTGCTTTGTGTTGTCTGATGCTCTTCCTGCGGTGGAACCAGCTACAGCAACAATCCTGATTAGAAGAGCTCATTGCTAGGAGGAACCTAAGACAAATTTCCCTCCAGGCTCAGGTTTTTGAGATGGCTCAGAAAGGCCATAGACATCTTGTAACAGGCATGGCAGCACAGCTGAGTCCCTGATTAACCAGCTGAGTGGGGCTGTAGGCGTCTTTGTTAGTGCCAGAGGTTGCTGTCCTTCCCACCACTACCTGGCTGCTTTCCTACTGGACTTGGCTGAGAGGTCAGTTGTTGTAGCAGGGTGAAGTGACTGGAGTAGCGGTGAACATCTTATCGGCGAGGACAACAGGTAAGAAGCCCGCTTTGACAACCCCCTACTTTCTTGCTAGTTAGTCCCAGTCAACAGTCGATATCTCATGCACTTCTGCTGCCAGACTCTATCCCATCCTGGCGTTTGCAGATGCACCCCAGCATCCACTAACTAACTAAATATCCCACGTGTGAATTCCCAAAGCTCAAAGTGATCTCTTTTAAAGATTGCGTGAGGAAAGGTGATGGAAATTTGCCCTGTACTTAAAGCAGCAAACAAGAATTCTGGTAACTTGCGCTTCCTGTGGTTAATGCATCCCTGTGTAACCTGAAGTAAATCACTGAATTTTGGTGCTTCTGTTCTCCATCTATTAAATGAGTGTTTCTTCCATCCTTTCCCTGTTTATTTAAGCTGCGTTGTCTTTTACTGTGTGTTTGTCCAATGCTTGACCTAGTGAAGCCACTTCTCAGCACTGTCATCTTGTAGGCACTGCTCATAATCCAGACAGCTGCCAGGGTGATTCGTGCCGCGCTGCGTAGGCTTGCTCAGAGCCAGGTTAGATGACAAGTGTGACACCTTGGAGGCTTGCTGAAGCATGGGCGCAGCTCCACCAACGGTGGCATTGGGGCAGCAGAGAAAGGGCAGGAGCCAGCTCGGCTGAGAAGTAAAGCTTCTACGATGTAACATGACATGAGCAAAAATACCTGTGTGTGTCCCCAGCAGTACGGCTCAGGGGTGCTTTGTCAGAGCACTCCATAAGCTGTAGCTACAGGTCCATCTGCATCAGGTCCATATGAATTCCTCTCCAGATCAGGAGCAGCTGCTCTGGGGATAGTAAGTGTGAGGGGAAGACAAGGCTCTGCTGTGTTTACAAAAGAATAGCAAAATCCTTTTGTGCTTCTTTATTTTGACCTGGAGAGTGAGAACATTCGCTTTTAAAAGATATGTCACCTTGTCTGACCTCCCATGTCCTTAAATTTATTCTTCTGCTGCTGTTAAAGTCCCAAGGCCTCTCTGCAGTACAGCTCATTTTGTTTCTGGCAAGTGGTATTTTCTGGGTGACTCGGGGACTGTGGCTGTTGATAATTTATTGGATCTTCTTTCATTACTGGATTATACTGGGTAACAGACATCTGCAGATGTGGCCCCAGTCCAGAGGCTGAGCATGAGGGGTCCTGTCTACAGAAAAGTATATGAACGGAGAGGACCAAAAAGTGCCTGCTGGCTGCAGGTGGAAGGATGAAGATAACTGCCAAATATCTGGTTCATTTTGAGACTTTCGTTTTGCATTTTAATGGTGTCACCACTCTTGAAATGTCTGCTGGCTGCTGCTATTGATTTCACACAAAAGGAAGAATTTCATAGTTTTATGTGAAACCAAGTGAAAGCTTGGCGTTAGGGACTCTGGGGTGACTGCTAACAGCTATCATTTTATCCCAACCCTGAGTTATTACAGGTCTGAAAAACACAGAAGGATAGATATGCTTTACGTGCTAGACTGCTGGGCCTTCAATCAGTCCTCACCAAGGACTCAAAGATCAGTGATTTGAAGGGAGTGCAGTGGGGCTCGCCTAAAAAACCCTCTATCTGGAGTTGTGCTGAGACAAAAGACTCTGCAGATGTCAGTGTCCCTAAACAAAAGGGCTGGGCTCTGAAGTGAGACTCGGCAAGTAGGATCTCTAAGACTTAGTAACAGGCTTTTGCAGAATGACCTACGGCTTCAGAGGCCTTCCATCACTAAAATAGGAGGAAAGGATGCAACCATTTGTCCTCTTCAGAGCTTTCTGATGCTTCCTTTGAAGATCCAGATTGGGGCTGCATGCACTCATGGGCTGCATGCATCATATATCTATCCTATTTCTTGCCATCTGAAATCCAAAGCCTTCAAAGCATGAATAATTCCCTAAACAGACCCTCTATGCCTATGCTTATTTTTTCCTTGCATAAAGAGGTATTATTTGCTTTATTTTCCTCTTATATACCTGTAGTAGAGGTGCCTTGAATGGAATAAGTAAATTGGAAAAAAATAAGATTATGTTGATAGTATCCCGCTGTGGCTTCAACTTCCTAGAGTCCTGCCTGGGCTCTTCCTTAATCTTCTGTGTATTGTCTTGGTAGAGGCATAGAGGAAGGCCTTCAAAGACGAGGTGGAAACCGTGGAGTTTACCCTTGCAAAAACACGGGCTCTTGCGGCATCGTCTCCATCCGCTGGAGTTAAGTGACGTGATTAAAATCTCAGCTAAAGAATCTGTTTCTCTCCAAGTTGGTTTATCTGCCTTCCATACTTTGCTTAAAGCCTGCTAAGTAGTGTGGCATGGCCATGAGAGCCAGAACAGGGCACACCTATATTCTGATAAAAAGCTGTGATGTCAACATGAGTCTTGAAAATGTATCTATTTAAAAATGAATATTTTGTCAGGTTTTTACATAAGTAGAGTTTACAGCTCTAGTGGCAACAGCTGTTAGGTGCCAGATTCTCTGAAAGACTTCTACTCTTTTCCAGTATTATGAAACTGGAGTGTATAACGTGGTGCGTTTGAATCATTCTCTGTGAGATGAAAGCAAAAATAATTTTTCAGAGATGGCTTTTATAAGGTCTTCAAAGTGAGTTTATTGTTGCTTCCATCCAAGAATTGAAACCTAGGAGCATGAAATAAAGCTTTCTGCCTACCACACTTGTGATCGGCTTTCAAATCAACTTTCAATTGACTTCGCTTTTGCGCTTTAGCAAACAGTAGGCCCAATCTTGCATTCATTGGAATAATTTTGAGATTTACTGTTAACTTGAAAAGAAGACATGGTGAGCTGATAAGACTTAAAAATTCTAGATTATAGCTGAGCAATGAGCTGAAATTACTGCTCCCCACCCACACAATGTTTGTCTTCCCTGAAACCTTGTTCTTTCATCCTCCTTTTCTATTTGCTTTGTTTCTTCCTCCTTTTTTCGCCTAACCATAGTACAAGCTTGTGAGTACCCTAGGATAAGGGTTAGTTTTCCTTTTGCTATGTTCATATAGCACACAATAGGCTCGGCTTTCTCACTGAAACTCTTAAGTATTGTGACTCAGAAGAACAATTACTTTTTTTTTGGCTGAAGTCTTAGAAACTGCAACAAATATCTGGTACTACACAAGTATCAGATGCCTACTGTGCGCCCATGTAAGAGACTGAAACCTTCACGCAGCAATTAGGCCAGCTGGTGAAACTGTCCATGACCCTGGGGGAAAGAACTCCCCTGGTTGCACTGAAACTTTGTAGTTCTTATCACCTGCAGCCATACTCTGTTTAGGCTTGAGAAAAATGCAGTCTAGAATGCTTAGCCCTGGTTCACATTCTGCTGATTGAAGTCTACTTCTAATGCTAGAAATCAAAGCAAGGGAGTATTTGCTCTTTCCACTCCCTCATATAAAGCTGATGGGTGTTTTTTAACATCCTTCTCATCCAAAGCAGAATTTAATGTATTGGTCAAAATCCAAACATGTTCAGGGGCTGGATGCAACTGCCACACACCTGGAAAAGCTCTAGACCTGCACAGCTGCTGCTACATCACGGTTTGTGTGTGCTACACCCTGGAGTGCTGTTGGCTTGCAAGAGGGGAAAATGCAAATAAGTCTTCGCTCAAAACTCCTTGTCTCCAGTAAATCCATAAGTGAAAAGCCAGTCAGAAGTCTGTCCTTCCTTCCAAGCAGTGAGGTGGGCCATATATCATTCCAAGTGCAAATTTCTGTTTTATTTTGCTGGGTCAGGTTAAGTATTTTCCCCCGTGCACTTCCGATGCCTATTGACCAAACGGCAGACTAAAAGATCTGTCCAGTGACACAGTTCTTGAAAACTCCTCACAAATGCCTCACAACCAGTGCTAAAATGAAGTGACTGGGGAAGACTTCTGGTAGGAAGTGAGGCAAGCACTATAGAGGATGAGACTGGTGGGCTGCACGGATGCTCAGTGGACTTATTGGTTTTCTGTGGTTTACACCACCAAGTTAATTTATCTGTTCAAGCATATATTGTGCTGTTTATCTTCAGGAACATTGTTAATCTATTATTTACCTCATTAAAGAAATTACAACTACACCTAAGCTCAGTTATCTGACTAAAATTCGTAATAAATTGTTGCTTTCTTTAAGAAAATAAAAATAATCCCTCCCCTTGCATCTAGGGAGCCAGGAGGTCTTTCTTTTTACTCATCTAAGAAAGAGATGCTTTTGGAAAGCCAGAGGGTAGCTATATTCCACATCTGTTTGTTCTGTAAGTGACCAGGAGTTAGAAGGAGCACTCACAAGCTCTGTTATTAGAAGCACTGATAAATCGCAGAACAGTGGTTGGAGAACATCAAACAAATTGTCTGTGCTCTATTTCATTGTCTCAGTAGGGATTTGCATTAGCTGTTGCCTCTGAACACCAGGCTCAAGGAGCTGTGACGTTATCTCTATGCTACCTACAACATTATACACTGAAGCAGAGACTTCAGATTGTTCGCAGCCCTCCTGGGTGTTTAGGCGCATCTCCCATAAAATTTTATTTCCATACACTATAATCTCTGTGAAATCTTTTTCTATTGCTACTATGCCTTTTTTAGGAGAGATGAGCAATTGAGTTTCCTTTTCAAGGTGTGCACTTCACTTGATTTACACAAAGATATTACAGATCAACAGCCTGCTCGTTTTTACAGTGGACCCTGTACAATGGGTGGGGATCTTCACTCAGCTGTTGCCGAAAGGGTCCGAACACATCCAAGAGCCAGCTGTGCGCACATCAGGCCGGCACGCGCTCCCTTGGCCCCTGCCAACTTGTGGAGCTGCAGCACTTTGTCTTTTGTGACCACCTTTGAAATTCTCTCACGGCTGGTTTCAGCGTACGGTACTTGGCATTTAAGCATTTAATTAACTATATGCTAAGCCCTACTCAGTGAACTAAGTGCTATACGCTTCTCCCTGTCCTTGCGCTTCCTTTTGGATATATGCAGTACCTGAAGCACATTAAATAAGTAACAGTTGCAAGTAGATGGATTATTACTAACTAAATGGCTTAAATGAATGTTTCAGCCCACAAACACTTAGTCAGAAGTCTTTTCCCACTCTTTTTTTCCACTACAGTCAATCAAACAAGATACAAATTCATCACAAAATAATCCTTCTTAGTTCTGATGTTCAAGATCTGTTTGCTTATCC